GGGTGGAAGGGTCCCCTGCCTGTGGCAGGGGTTGGACCTGGAGAAGCTTTGAAGTCCCTTCCAACCTGAACCATTCCATGATTCTATGGGACAGCACAACACAGGGATCACAGTGGGCCTGGGGTCTTTTGGTGAAGCCTGTGTAAGCTCTGCTCCCTTCCCTCCAGGACTGCACTGCCATGGATGAACATGGGATTGCAGCCGCTCTCCTGCCGCTGGTCACTGCTTTCTGCCGAGTGAGTATCTGCAGTGTCCTCATGTCCTGACCCTGCACAATCCCCGCAGGCGCCATGTCCCTGTAGGCTGCAGAGGTGGGAGCTGAGGGGAGATTGACCCCTTGGTGCTGCTGAGTGTGTATGAAGTTCTGTTCTACCTTGTGCTTCCTCAGAAGCTGAGCCCAGGCATCACGCAGTTCGCCTACAGCTGCGTGCAGGAGCACGTGGTGTGGACCAACATCCAGTTCTGGGAGGCCATGTTCTACTGCGACGTGCAGAACCACATCCGAGCCTTGTACCTGGACAACAGTGAGGAGAACCACACAGATGAGGTGAGGAGGTGACAGCAGTGACACAGTGTCCCTGTTGTCCATGGGGTGAGGAGGAGGGTGAACTGGCCTGAAGGGCTGTGTCCTGGTTCTGGGAGATTCCCATGGAACCATGTGGGAAGGCTGGTAGGTCCGTCCATGCAGATTACTGATCTTCTTTCATCTCCTTCAGGAGAGCCCGGAGGAGCCACAGGAAGCCAAGTCTGCCCTGGAGATAGCATCAGAGCAGCTGCGGCTCTGGCCCACCATGAGCAGAGAGAAGCAGCAGGAGCTGATCCAGAAGGAGGAGAGCACTGTCTTTAGCCAGGCCATCCACTACGCCAACCGCATGAGCTACCTGCTGCTGCCCCTGGACACCAGCAAGAACCGCCTGCTCCGCAGCTCCGGCCTGGGTGACGTGGAGAGTGTCAGCAACAGCTTTGTCACCAACAGGTCAGCAGGGCTGGGAAGTGGGGTGGGACACCAGAACACCCGGGGACATTGGGATCATGCAGTGGCCAGCAGGATGGAGGCAGGTTGCAGTGCCCAGGGGTGTTTCATGTCAAGAGCAGGAGCTCTCCTGGGTTCATATCAAGGGTGGAAGCTCTCCTGGGTTCATACCAAGGGTGGAAGCTCTCCTGGGTTCATATCAAGGGTGGAAGCTCTCCTGGGTTCATATCAAGGGTGGAAGCTCTCCTGGGTTCATATCAAGGGTGGAAGCTCTCCTGGGTTCATATCAAGAGTGGGAGCTCTCCTAGGTTCATATCAAGTGTGGAAGATTTCCTGGGTTCGTATGAAGAGCAGCAGCTCTCCTAGGCTCATATCAAGGGTGGAAGCTCTCCTGGGTTCATATGAAGAGTGGGAGCTCGCCTAGGTTCACATGAAGAGTGGGAGCTCTCCTAGGTTCATATCAAGGGTGGAAGCTTTCCTGGGTTCATATCAAGGGTGGAAGCTTTCCTGAGTTCATATCAAGGGTGGGAGCTTTCCTGGGTTCATATCAAGAGTGGGAGCTCTCCTGGGTTCATATCAAGAGTGGGAGCTCTCCTAGGTTCATATCAAGGGTGGAAGCTCTCCTGGGTTCATATCAAGAGCAGGAGCTCTCCTGGGTTCATGTGAAAGGTGGAAGCTCCCCTGGGCTCTGTGTGCTGTGAGGTGCAGCAGAGGAGATGTTGAAAGTTGACTCTTCCCTGCTCCTCATGGCAGCATCGCTGGCAGTGTGGCTGAGAGCTATGACACAGAAAGTGGCTTTGAGGATGCAGAGAGTTCGGATGTGGCCAACTACGTGGTGAGGTTCATCAACCGCTTCGTGGACAAAGTCTGCACCGAGAGTGGAGTCACCAATGAGCACCTCAAGGGGCTGCACGTCATGATCCCTGGTAATATGCCCTGCAGCAGTGCTGGGGACTGGGTGGCTCTTTGGTGGCACTGGGGATCCTTCCACTTCACCCTGGGGTTTTGATCAGGAGATGGTTCTGCAAGAAGCAGTAGGAAAGGCAAGAGAAGGTGCTACCGGGTGGGTTGGCAGCGTGCTTGGGTGCTGTGTAGGACAGGATTTGCTCTCCATCTCTAACTTCATGTTTATCCACAGATATCGTGCAGATGCACATAGAGACACTGGATGCTGTACACAGGGAGAGCAAGAGGCTTCCTCCCATCCAGAAGGTATGGACCCAGCCTGCTGCTGTGGAAAGTTCTGGTGCTGTGGGGACTGTCATGTCCTCCACAGTGCACATGGGCCTGAACTTCCTGTTGTACATCCTTGTAGCCGAAGCTGCTGCGCCCCAACCTGCTGGTGGGAGAGGAGTGTGTGATGGAGGGGCTCCGCGTGTACCTCATGCCTGATGGGCGGGAGGAAGCTGCTGGAGGGAATGTTGGTGGCCCACCTCTGCTCCCTGCAGAAGGAGCCATCTTCCTCACCACGTACCGCATCATCTTCAAAGGCACCCCCACCGACCCCCTGGGTAAGGTCCTGTGTCCTCTGCTTCCTGGGGTTGGTGGTGCCTGGGGAAGAGGTGGCTGGAGCTATCCTGGAGCAGGGCTGCAGCTCAGGACAGTAGTGGTTCCCTTGGGTGGGTGACCAGCTAGCACTGGGCCTTGCTGGGGGCTTTTGCAACCACCACAAGCTTGGTGGTTGTGTCCCACTATTACAAAGGAGGTGGTTGCTCTTGCTCTCCACTTTTGGTAGATGGTAATTCCTCATGGCCATCTGAGGCATCATGTATAAGTCACCATGGGCTGGCTGTTGAATGTCCAGCCTGCTTCTGGCCACTTTATCATCTCTGTGGTGATGGCAGGGGTCTGGTGTGGGCTGGCCTTGTGCAGGGCTGAGCCCGTGTCTAACCTGTTCCATGCTTGTGCCCAGTGGGGGAGCAGGTGGTGATCAGGTCCTTCCCCATTGCCTCGCTGACCAAAGAGAAGAAGATCAATGTACAGGCCCAGGTGGATCAGTTCATCCAGGAGGGTTTGCAGCTGCGCTCATGCACATTCCAGGTGAGGCCATGAGAGGCTGTGGGTGCTCCTGGGCATCACACTGGTGTGTGGCCTCAGCATCACCAGCCCCTGGGACAAGGCACTACCCAGCTGAGGTGGTTTCATAGCACCATGGAATGGTTTGGGTTGAAGGGACCTTAGAGCTCCTCCAGCTCCAACCCCTGCCACGGGCAGGGACAACTTCCACTAGAACAGGTGGGTCGAAG